TTAGAAATTTAGCCGTATCGTTATAGCCGTTACTGATAGAGGAAAATGCTGAGTAATTGATATGTGATAATAGAAGCTTCACATGGATGTCAGCACGCCAAAACGAAGTTGTTTTCCCAACCTCATATATCATCTGCAGTGAGAAATACGTAGAAAATCTGGCATGTCGTCTCATAAATAATATTCTCATAATTTCTCACAATTCATTACTCCTCTTCCATGTGCGCGAGCATTCAGATCATTGCGTGAACATTTCAAGCAAACCAATGTTTACACCCCAATATAAAAAAATTTTATATTGGATTTCGCGCGTTTGTGCAAGATTGTATTTGAGCGCATTTTCAACACTTGTTGGAGAGGTAATGTACATAGTGATTTGAACATCTTCAAAATATTTTCAAATATCCTCTTAGCTTTTTCTCTATCACGTTCTCCAGCATGGAATTTGCAGCTCTTCCGTCGAACCTCGAATGTCTCGGAAGAGGTGTGGAAAATTTTCTCATAGAATGTGCACTGATTAAACCGGCACGCTCTCAACACACAGACAAAGCTGCTCCTCTCCGAAATGATCTATTATCGTTTCCACTCTTCCGTCACCTCGATCCTTATGTCCTTTGATTAGGCTAAATCGGGAAGGAATTAGACGAAATCCGATGCAAGAACCAGAAAACTGCATATGTCTGAAAAATCCGACAGCAGTGACTGTCCTTAAAAGGAAATAAAAACGCGAAACGACGGCTCCAGTGATTTATGCATAGGCAATTTTGCTGTGATTTCTTTTGAATTAGCTAAGCATTCCATAATTTGGGAAAAACTCTGGCAAAAGATGTTCATACAATGCTAAGATCATCAATAAAGGGAGAGCTTATATCACGAAGGAATGCGTAATATGCTCCTAAAAGATATGAGACTCGATGTCGAGGTCGTTGTTCAATGTTTGAAGTATCACGCCATTTACGAATTAGTTAAAAAGAATTTCGCCTTGGCATGAAAATGTCCATTAAAACTTTTCTTGTTTTTATTTATTTGTGATTTTTGAAATGAAGTAGTTCATAAGTTCTGCTACCTATCAACTATTCGGGTTTTCTGCTAACAGTAAAGGAGATTATTCTGATTAGTTTCTTTAGCAGCGTCCAAGATTGGTACAGATATTTATTCCACAATATACAGACTGACGTTTCGGCAAACTCGCCTTCTTCAGAGTCTGAAAAGTCGAAAACACATAAGTGAACTATCCGATCAAACACCTTATCGACTACAGAAAAGAGCCCAACCCTCTAGACAAGCAACAGTATCAACCAAAACGCAAGATTAAGCCAGTGCTCACCTTAAAAGATGATAGATTTGGCGGGTGCAGACCACTTATGCCAAAAACTGTACTGCATTACTTATATATTACTTATATATTACTTATATATTACTTATACTTATATACTAATCAGAAGATTCAAACTATGCCAAGATTCATGGATAGTCGAACATGGATTCTGATGAACGATGTACCAGCAACTCTGTTTCGACTCGTAAAAGAAATTCTCTCTTTGAGACAAAAGATTGTCTCGGAGAGGCAGACCATCCACTTTCTACGCCGCTGCTTACAAGAACATGTGATGCCAAATTTCATCTCAAAGAAGCGCATCCACGAAGTATGCGGGCTACCCAAAGGAAGCCAGCATGTGAAGAAAATCGAGCAACAACTTCTACGTATGGCACTTCGTTCGAAGCAAGATCATATGTACAAATTATTGTCTAAGTGTTTATATAAGGAGCAATGTTGTGTACGATATATGTCTGATCGCCTTTGGAAGAAGATCGTGGGTGAGTCGAAACACATCTGTGATCATGTCCGATCTAATGCTAAGTCTAGATTGCAGAAAAAGTTCAAAACTTTAGTTGAGCAAGAGAAAGACCATACACAGGAGCCAGCTAGTGCAAACAGTTGTGGTTACGAAAGTCAAAACTGTGCTGCTTCCACTCTCACTAATACTCCTAGTCGATTCCGGGTCTCGGTAATTGGCAATGCACTCATTTCCGATAATGCGCTATCATTACTGGACCTTGGTCCTAGTTTCGCACCTAGTCAATCAATAGGATCTCGGGTATCGCGTAGGATTGTCGGCAGCCTGCAATATGTTCACGAAAAGATACGTCAGCGAGCCAACGAGCGTGAGAGCGTAAGAGACGGCGAAACAGCTGGGGGAAAAACATGGCCAGTTATACCTTTTCCGCGTTTAGTTTATAAACCGCAGGAGCCTAATCAACCAGTGGATGCAAAGTTTCGAGTATTTGCTACCGGGCTCTTCTCAGTTCTCAACCAATTCCGCGCAAAACGGCAAAATAGTAATTTATCACTTTTACAACGCCGCGGCCTGCGCGAAATTCGCGACCTTTGTGCTGCCGGGGAGATCAAGGTGTCGGTCAGCGACAAAGGAGGAGAGTTTGTAGTTCTCTCTCGTGATCTGGACATGGCTATCACGAAACATCATCTACAGGATACTACCGTATACGAGCCTGTGGCAGCAAATGATTTCAGAAAGCAGTACCGCCGCTTAAACAGGGTATGGTTAGAGGTGTCTAAAGCTGAAGGCATTCCTAGGGCTATGGCTACACGTCTAAAGACCGATCTGCCTATATGTCCTGTTCTCTACACTCTTATCAAGACACATAAGGTGTCCGTAGATAGTTTAACGTCCAATAACCCGCAGGATTTTAAAGTTAGGCCTATCATCAGCAGCGTTGGAGGTCCTACGGATAGGATTTCGTGGTTTCTTAACAGCATCCTTTCTCAACTGCTCAGATTTGTTCCCGCACATCTCTCCAACACGAAAATGTTTCTTGATCGCCTGCGCAGCACAAGTGTAAGGCAAGGGTGCGTTTTGGAGTCTTTCGATGTGGAATCGCTCTATACCAACGTTTCCAACGACGCCGCGATGCAAGCGACATTCGAACTTCTTCTAGAACACCAGTCTTCGCTTAATCTTTACGGTCTTAGCATCAGAGGCATCTTGTCGTTGGTTAAGGAATGCCTCAACTGCTCCATCTTTCGTTGGTGCGGCAAATATTACAGGCAAATAAGAGGACTGGCTATGGGACAAAGACTGGCGCCTACTTTAGCGATTGTTTTCATGTCCAAGGTGGAAGCTCCGGTACTGGCAAGCAAGCCTCTCCTCTACTGTCGGTACGTGGACGACTGCTGTATCGTGTGTCCCACTCAGGCCGAACTTGATTCTTGCTTCAATATCATGAATGCCCAGGACAGGAACATCAAGATGACGAGGGAAAAACCCAAAGACGGATGGCTGCCGTTCCTCAATGTGCAGCTATGCTTGTCAGATAGACGTTTCAAGACCAGATGGTACCGAAAGCCGAGTAGCAAGAATATTTTAGTACACCATACTTCAGCACATCCTGCACGAATAAAAGCATCCATCATAGGGAACATGTTTAGAACGGCTGCAGGGGTCTCTTCTGATAGAGAAGAAAAGATGCACTCGCTGGAACTCGCTAGATCCGTAGCAAGATCCAATGGATATAGCACGGAGACTCATCGTCCTCACAAATCCCGGGTTCATCGTCCGCCTAGATCAGAAGCTGAAGATCAGATCTCATTCTGTCTACCATACATCTCAGAAGAGTTTAGTAGGGCTGTTCGCAAAGTGCTCCATCAAGCAGACCTCAACGACATAGTAAGGATCGTCGATATTCCTCCTGCAAGCCTTAAACAGCAACTGGTACGAAACCGCGAGTATGATCGTCTCTGTACAACTCCTCATTGTGTAGTTTGTCCGTTTGGCAAGGAAGGAGACTGTATGGTATCAGGTGTTGTCTACCTTATCACGTGCACAACATGTGGAGACACGTATATTGGCGAGACAGGCCGCCCCCTATGCACGCGCATCAAAGAACACTTAGATGGTCTCAGCAAGGGCAATGTAGCTACTCCGTTAGGCATGCATCGCAGGCTCAGCCATGACGACGCGGAGGTGGGAGTGCAGGTTCGAATCCTGGCGCGTGAACCCGAAATCCTAGCGCGCAAGACACTCGAAGCGTTTTGGATAGCCGCCCAAAATCCAAAAATCAACCGGAAGGATGAGTGCCTAGCCATTACTAACGAGCTGTCACCTTATCAGAGCCTTTGTGGCTTTTGAATAATGAGGTCAGGTCAGGACCGGGTCGCTAGATTAATATATAAGTAATGCAGTACAGTTTTTGGCATAAGTGGTCTGCACCCGCCAAATCTATCATCTTTTAAGGTGAGCACTGGCTTAATCTTGCGTTTTGGTTGATACTGTTGCTTGTCTAGAGGGTTGGGCTCTTTTCTGTAGTCGATAAGGTGTTTGATCGGATAGTTCACTTATGTGTTTTCGACTTTTCAGACTCTGAAGAAGGCGAGTTTGCCGAAACGTCAGTCTGTATATTGTGGAATAAATATCTGTACCAATCTTGGACGCTGCTAAAGAAACTAATCAGAAGATTCAAACTATGCCAAGATTCATGGATAGTCGAACATGGATTCTAAAGGAGATTATGCCCCAATATGGTTGTGGTTAGATTCGAAAAGCTCTGTTCTTCGTTTTTCTCAGCTTCGTTTTCGGGCTGTGATGGATGTAGAGATGAGCGACTTGGTAAGATAGATGTGGTTTTTTCGTAAGCGGGAGGTGCGCATGTAAACCATTCTAGAAAAATTTTATCAAAATATTGCAGCATGACTGGCTCACACTTTCGTTAATGTGAAAAAAAAACAATTGACTTGTCCCTAGCAGGTACCAAAAGCCATGGAATCAAGTTGGCCCATATACGGTTACTAAGGTTTATAAATAGCGAACTATTTATTAATCGATACCAATACATTAAACACAAAATAGAAGTGAGCGAATACACCATGATTGCCATAGAACGATATAAACGTACAATACAGATATAATCTAGTATACAAATACTTCACAGATGGCAATATTTCGCACAACCGTTTATTGGTCCTTTGCTTCGGCCAGAAATGATCACATTAGTTCAAGAAAGGAGATTGGCACTCGCCCTCGCACGCCACCCTTTTCGGCCATTACATAGTCCGGGTCGAGTCCTGGCAGGCGATAGACGATGAGCACCTAATTTTTGCATTCATTGTTCACTATCTAGAATGTTTTCCCTGGATATAAGCTTGGCATTTCTGGAAACAGTAGAGTACAGTTTTGGCACTTCAGTTGAAGGCAGTGGTAATGGACGCTTCTTAGGTCTAGGTGGTATTAGTTTTTGACCCCCTCCCCAGTTAATCGTAGCCCCTACCCACCCTCCATTTCATGCGCTCAGTCTTCAAAAGGCGCTTCAAAAGCCACCAGCCCCGCCCTTGAGAAGATTAGATTTAGCCTGGACACTCCCATTGAAGGCAGTGTCCAGGCTAAATCTAACCTTCTCCGACTAGTGCCGATCCTGAATGTAGGCCCCAGGAGAGGGCAAATGCGTTGGTCCGATTCTCTAATGTTGTCTCTGAATGGAGATAATGGGCCTGGAACAGCCAAAGTGCTATCGAACCCCGCCCAGGTCCTTTCAAGCTCCGCCCAGCCAGGGATTGCCTTCCGACACGTATTGACATGGTAGTGAGCAGAAGCTGTACGCTGCTACAACTGCACCCATGCAGTTGCAGCTCCTCCTCGCTGGCATGCCGACGGGGGTGAGCAATCCGAAACTCGTCCGCGCCTTCGAGACAGGGGTCCCCAAGAATCGGGTTTTCTGGGGTGTTTGGACAATTTGAACCTCAGATCTGTAAACAGGACGAGGGAAAGGGCCCAGAATAGCAAGAACATGGGAAGCAAACTTTTGGACGCTACCTTTACGTAAGCGTCAGCGGTATGCTCTTGGAGCGCGTTCTCAGGAACTAGCGCATAATGGAAGGTAGGGTTGGGACTACGGTGGTTTGGGGGTCTATTAGATATCACCAAGATCTGACAGTGGTCCCATTTCCCGGGCCACTAAAGCGGGATCGAACGCGGCAAGTTCGCGGCTATATAACGCTCTGAACCCTATGTTTTACGCGCCCTACGTTCGATAAAACCGCCCACGCACCCCTGAGTTTTGCGCCTTTCGTTCGGCAGCAGGCTTTAATTGCACAGCAATACACAAGAGCGGCGCAAGCAGGCTTCTGCTAATTATAAGGTTCTTTCCCTTTCAATAACTCGTTCACGAAGTGCAAAGTCACTCGCCGATACGGAAAGAATTTTTTGTGAATCACAATAGTGCACGGTGATGGATCGTAGCAAAATCAGCTAGACAGTGGCAGATCGGCCCCCCTTCCCCTCATGCTTCGCGAAATTTTTGAAAGTTACATGCTTATAAGAGAGTGCAAGTGACCTTTAATACTGGTAAATAATTTGACTTTTGAAAATTTTAAATTTTTCGGGGGCCTTTCCCGGAAAATTTCGCGGTCGCGGGCGCGCAAAAATTAGAAGTGCCCCAAAAATTTTCCGGATTTCAAAATTATTCAGCCTTTATTTATAAAAGAACCTTTATTCAAAATTTTTTGTCCCCCTCCTCCCCCCTCCCCCCGAACAGAAATCCTGGGACCGTCACTCCCTCTTGAAGTTTTTTCTAGTTGCTAATCCCATGTTCGTTCGCTACGGCAGGGACTACACAAAAGGGATATGTCAACCCTGAATTCATCTACCGGAAAGGGCCGCGCATACATCAAGCGATTTCATCGCGATTTTCCCAACGCGACTAAGCGCGGCTAACTATCTCAACCGAAATGAAAGATGATCAGCATGAGTGGCCTCGTAACAATTGTCCTGTTGAGAGAATCGCGAGGCGATGAAATCGCGTGATGTATGCCCGGCTCTTAACCCATAATGCGAATTCATAACGAATATATAGTGATTTTGTGATTAACATATAGCAAGCGTGAACTTACATCAGCCTGACCGATAGGGTGCGTTACCAAACCTGGTCATTTTTTCTAAGAAAACAAATACAAGTCAACCTACATCATTCTGTCTCACGCTCATTTCCTGCGGAAGGACAGCGTCATAATCCAGTATCACACGAGCTTGCTTGGTTCCGACGTCAGAGATATCGAACGGCTTTCCACCTCCCGGAGCAGACTAGAAGTTAGCAGGGTGAAAATATTAAGCAAGAGTTCTAATCATGGTGGCATCAAAAGAAGCAAGTGGGGAGGGAATTCTCGCCTTAGGAGGAGTAGTTGAAGAATTCGAGGTGGGAATCGATCCTGTGCTTGCGGTCACTAACACTGCTGATGATCCTCGAAAGGTTAGGGTACTGCAAAAGAAGCATCAGGCGGTGAAAGATGAGCTGCACTTTGGTTAGCTAGAGTGTAAATTTTGAAATTCTTTTGTCATTGGAACTCAGTACGCACCGCTGACAACCTGGTACCCTTTAATTCAACAGGATTAGCGGTTGGAAGGCGGGATTTTCGGCCTAATCGAGGCTAGAGTATGGACAGAGAGCACGCACGAGAGACGCAGACTGCATTGCGGGTGCGAACGGTCTCCTTCCAGCCGCCAATCCCCTTGAATCAAAGAGTAACTCGTGTCTAACGAAAAGCAGCACAGAAATAGTGACTGATATAAGCCAAAACCATTTTCATACACAAATGAATAGAAAAGCATTTCTTGTTGATGTTGGTATTGTTGAGTTAATCACCAAAAGTCCAGATGATTACTTCCTTCAAATGGAACAGAGTTCCCATAAATTGCTCTCATCGAGGTACTGCACTATGTGTACCATTTACTTTAGATAACCTCTCCATATTCTGCAAACACAACTAGGCTCAATAATTTATGTTAAAAGATGAAACAAATGCATATCACCCAGATAGAATCTCTTTGCCTGAAACTTTGTATTTTTAATTGCTAAGTTATTATGAATTGGTAAAGGAAAAATAAAATAACTTAAGTAGAGATATTCACCATGTTACTAAAACAGACAAAACTGACCAGGAAGGCAGCAACACAACACATAAAAAATCACACACGTTTCAAAATGCAAGTATAACTAAAGATGATATTTACAATAACGTCACAAGAGCATGATCACTATTAAAAAATCACGGTAAGATCGGGTATCCAGCACACGATGACGAAAGATGTAGCTTAACGTGAACAGTACAACCTAAGCATCGAGCACGATGGCAAAGATAAAACTGTGATGTCAGCGAAATATCACTTGAGATCATCTCCAGGGGTGAGAACGGGACCATTCTGTGCTGAGGATGGAGTGGCGGGTTTGGCGAAGAGTCCAATGTGAGGATCACTTAGCGAACTAAAACACCACACTAGACTTCACAATGTACGTATTTCTGATCTTACAAGATACTAATCATCTTCAGGCAACGGATACGACATCAACGAGTAATCAACGTCTACACTGCACACGATAATCTTGTCAGTTTGGTTACATGCGAATGGATAAATAGTTTCAGAATATAAGGTGAAAATATCTGCTCACTCTACTTTGACCAAGGACACTGATACTAGAGCGAAAATGCGGTTTTTCGAGCTCATTTTTAACAACTGTCATTGGGTATTGTTGAGATCATGAAAAAACTGATTATGGTCGCTGCTTACCCAAAAATGACTATGAATTGCGATCTACCAATCCACCAAAATAGAAAAAAAAACAAAAAGAAAAGATTAAGCAAGCATACCCGCTCAGTTCTCGCTGTAGATCGGCCAACATTTGATGGGCTTGAGCGAAATACGACATTTGCAAATCAACGAAGTCTCGCAGACATTTCAACTGATTGTTCTGAACAAGGAATGAGATGTAAGCACTATAATGTTAAGTCAAATTGCTTATTTCCAAAAAAGCTCACATGGGCTGTTTGAATTCCCTCCAGCAGCAATTTCGTGATCTCCACTTGCTTATCAAATTCAGCCTGTGCCACCCTCAAATCTGCTTCTGCCTGAATTGGTGACATTCAGTAAGCCATAATCAAGTGAAAAAGATCAAAAGTTTTGAGCAGAGTTCCAAGAAACAACCACAGGACTTTGCAAAACCCTAAAACCATTACCAATCAGATTTGGCTCACAATCGCTAGAAGAACCGACATGAATTTCTCAGTCAAAGATCTCAGAATTGGAGGAATATAGACAAGTGCGCTGCCACCAAGGTGCATGTCAAAAGCATGTGAACAAAAGGAGCGAAACTAATCCCAAATGATTTACAAGGGATGCTAACACGATACCACACGACATCTATCAAACCTGCTCAACAGTGAAATTTCCACTCGTTCTACTATTAGCCTAAATTTATTGGTATCGGCCACACAAAGAAAAGAAACATATAAGAAATTTACTTACTGCAGCTTGGCTCTCCACAGTTTTTGCCTTTCTGAGACGACTTTTGCACGCATCTAGATCCAAACGCTTGCTGTTTAACACCTTGCGTTCTTTCTAAACCAATAAGATGAAAAAAATGGCGATATAACGATGCATGCATGAGAATACAAGAAGAGCAAACCTGGATTGTCTTCATGTCGCCCTCTAAAAATCGTCGAATGGGGAGCAGAGTTTGACTGGCTGACGACGTAACAAATTCTCGCTCAGCCTGTCCCAGTTTCTGTTCAGTCTGAGCTATCTTCACAAGTGCATTTCCTGTAATAAAGGAAGCTCAGCCTATAAACCAGAGCGGCGATGACATAGCAGTAGGTTTTGCAAAAACACTCGAAATATCTGTAAGAATCAAGACGACTGTAGAACAAAAACACATCGAAACAAATGGCTTTTGAAGCACGTAATTAGAAGTTCGAAAAACGGAACATATATTCGTCATTCGCATGTGCAAAGGCGCATTGTACAAGAATTGAGAAAACGTTATCTCTTGATTGTTGCAGCAAAAAAAAGCTGCAAACGAAATCACGTGTATGCCAACAACAAAGCACGGGATTGAACGTGCAAAGAGTACCGTTCCAGCAAATAATGGAAAAATCGAAAAGAATAAGACTATGCACTAATGTTTCACAAATATATTCCGAAGTATGACATGTGAAAAGTGAGGAAAATCTAACAAATGGAACTGACCATATGGTGCTGATGAGCCAAATTCCTCTCCAGCTTCGCTCATAGCTTGTGCCATCAATTCCAAATTATTCAAACGGCTTGCATGATCCTTCTTTAACTCCAATTTTTCGTAAAAGACTTCTTCCATGCGTATGGCTGCAAAGTTTGCTTGAAAAAATTGCGAGGGTAAATCAAAAAACTCACTAGGATTCGGTTGCAAATAGCTTTCTATACAAGAGAGTAGCCTTCGAGTATGTTCCTCTGTCTTGTCCGCCCTTTGTAATAAATTCTCGAAATGTGGATCAAGATCTGTGCGTTCCGCTTTCAAGAAAGTCTCCTCCGTATACTGTAAGAGCTCTTAATAGTCAATGCTCCCAACACAGTGATTTGATATGTAGTTCCCTAGTAAAGAAATTCAATATAGATCTTTTCCCTCAGCGATGAAAAATTAATTTTGTCTCAAAGATGAACTTGGAGGGTACTCTATTCCGTCTGCATTCTAGCGGAAGCGACATAACACACTCTAGAGAACAATGAAGCTAATAGCAACCCAGCTGAGCATGAACACTAAGGGGAAAAAGCACACAGAAGCCAAAAATAGGCAAAATAATGCTTAGATTTTCTGTAAATTTCATCTTTATTAAAAAGGTTCAGAAACATATAGATTGGTCTAATCAAAAGAATTAGAAATACAAATTAGAAAAAATTGAATTTTACCTGTTTCGCTCGGCTGAAAAAGCCACCAGCTTCACTGGCAATCTTCTTGAAATTAAAATCCATCTGAAAGTAAAAGGTAAAGAGCAGCTTCAGAAAAGGCTCAGTCTACTTCGCGAAGCACGCAATGAATGGTTGAGAACAATACACAGAATTCACAAGGTATTTGCTAGAAAGATGAATGTGCAGAATTAAAGGAAGATTTTTGCAGGAATGACCATCATTGCCATGTTGAGGCAGTCGTGGAGGCGAGACGATGCAAGCCAATAAAAACAAGCGAAACGGAAAAATCGATATGAAAGCGCGAGAACGAGGACGTGGTGCATCGAATGAAGCCTGAATGATGGAAGGAGGAGTCGCCGAAAATCCCGATTAGGTCAAGCAAGAAACACCTTTGTTATTCTGTCAAGGTAAGAAAATCGACTAGCTTGAATAGTCCAACGACAAGTTAGCCATAGAGCACGTCCCTCAAATCATGTTCCAGTTGAGTGAATTCCTATGGTGCGGTACTTTATTGTTGTTTCCTAAGCAGTTCGTCCTCCAAAAAAGCTCGTTGAATTTTGCTCAAAGGTATGGCGATCTATCCGAACCTTGGCGTGAGGCTGCACCCTCGATGATTAGGGATCGGCCACACTATTCCTGCGATTTCTATGATTGCTGCGGGTCCCGTAACAATGTATATTGCGAAAAAAGCAATGTATACTGAAATTCGCAAACGTAGTGCGGCACATCGGAAGTCGAGAAATCGCAAAAGTTGCAGGAATTACAGGAGTCGCAGGAATTAAAGGAGTGCAGGAATCACCCCTGGAATCTTAATAATAATTCGTCAGTAAAACCCTTCCTAGCGAAAGAACCTGTTGAAACGTCTACATACATACATACATTTAGTCATCCTCAGCGGTTATATACAGAATACAGATGATTGCTTGAGTTAGGCAACTTCGATTTCGATCGTCTTCGATGACAGGAATCCATTCTTGCTCGTGTCAAACAGCGCATATGACTTCTCGCCTCAGTAGACGCAGTGGACCAGCGCTTTGTTCCACCTTGTCTTCTTAGTCCCATCCCTGGTGGATGGTATAGGTCAGAGCTAAAAGCTAGCCGACCGTTTGCGAGAAGTGAGGAGAGAGAAACGTTGAAACTTTACAATTGTATTTCATATCTGTCTAGTGAAGCCAAAAGTGAGAAAAAAGGAGGAGAAAGTCAAATCGCAAGTAGTGCGCGTGTTGTGCATTACGCACGCATATCAAGTTACAATGACTCGACTTCAAGAAAGCTTTGGCATTTGCGCCAAACAGCAGAAGTACGGGATGTTTAAGATAAGCACACGAAACAAAATCAGAAGAGGAAGTATAACAGAAGCGAAAGTTAATGCAAAAGCAGGGTCTGTTAATGATACAGCATACTGTAACTCCCGCTAGGATTGCACCTTACGCACGCGCCATACTTGATCCGATTAATCCACTTGATCAGCTTGATCCGCTTCGCTATTGGTCATTCTACTGAATTGACCAATGACGAAGCGGATCAAGTGGATTAAGCGGATCAAGTATGGCGGGTGCCTTATGGAGTCCCTGTCTTCATATCTGTGAATTTATCTTTCTCCGAATTACAAACTGCAATCGAGCAAGTTCGAAGGTCACTTAATAGGGTAGTGGAACTACAGTCGCTAATAGGCTACATCCCGCGCGGACAGCTGGTACAAATTTTGATCTGCAGCGTGTGAGGCTGCGCGCTACGCCGCAGATGGCTTGGGACCACCATCCTTCGGCCAGGGAGACGGTCAAGAGGCGCGATTTCTTTGGCTGTCAGCAACTCAAAACTCCAGTTTAGTGCTACGCGAGTCTTCAAAAAGTACCACATGAAGTGCATTGGGTTAATATTTGTCTAAGATAACCAACTGCTGAGTTTGGTGGCTTTTGCTGGAAAACGGACCGAAATATTCAGAAATTTGTTTCTAACTGCATTTTTATGGGTTTTTGACCTTCAAAATTACTTTTTCGAGTTGATTCCAAGGTAGCAAGATTGAGGAACCCATGCAGCTATCTAATATATCTTCTTCAGAAATTTAGATACTTTTGGAATGTTATAAAACACTTATTATGTGCTATTTGTTGTCCATCTGGCAATAAAAATCGCGCCTCTTGACATACACCCCTTCGGCCATATGGTCCTCCACCCCACTTAGTACAACCCAAAAATTTAACTCACGGATTTAACTGAAAATCCGCCTAGGGAGGGGGGGGGGGGGTATTCCACCTGCTGATCGCAAAAATGATATTTATTTCGCATAGCAGGCGTTTTTGAGGAGTTCCGTTAGGCATACGATATGGGGTCAATCTTCAAATCTCGCTGAAAGCAAAATAATCTTCGTATATATGCTGACTCCAGGTAACGCTGCGGTTTGTCCGTCGATATTCCGAAAAAGTGTCTGCCCTATCAATCTAATGGTAATACTTTGCACCGAGGGGCTATTCGACATGCCGATCGCGAATATCACTCTTTTCCGCGCGAAGACGTCCCCTGTATGCTTCGGGTAAATGTACCAGGGGCTAAAATCAAGATTTGGCTAAAATCTGGTTTAGAGGGGTCAACATGCTAGATACGTATACATATCATAGTTTTTGCTTTTGGGACCCTCTTCGGAGTTACGTATGTATATTGTAAGGGGACATAATGGTAGATCCGCCTGAGTCTTTATGCGGGAGGGGAGGGGGGTATCTGAAGCGCCGAGAATATCGTGCTCATGTCGCATGATAAAGCCCTTTCGTGGATTTTTTGGAATCTAAATTGTCTTAGCGAAAAAGCCGCTTATTTACGTGCTGCAAATTTCTATGACTTTACAATAAGAGGTTTTTGCAGTAAGCAAGCATGATATTCAGCAATCAGCATGCTTAAAAACCCCTCTGTGGCATGTTTTGAGCAAAGGGACTTTGATCCAACTATCATATACCCATCGTAACCCAAGAAAAAAGCGCTACCTGCAAATTCATATTCTAATTTCCTCCATGAGCGATATTTCATGCAAATCCGTGATTTTGACCACTACCGTACCACATCCCGGAGAATCTATCATGCGAAAGAGTACCATTTTCGTGATTAGCAGTCTGGATAACCCCCTTAGGCAAGTTTTCAGCGACACTGGTGTTTTTGAATTTTTAGGTTGTATTGAGTGAGACAGCGCCCAATTTTTACCGTAGGTGAAGGAGAGTGAGAAACTTTTTTCTTCCATATGAGAACGGTGGGAAGGTTTCAGTCACTTTATTTGCTTAAAGGAAAGTAACTCCCATCATACTACCAGAGTTGAGAGACACAGTTACTTTTGAAGAGCTCTATGAAATTTTGCTTCCTTGTATTTAATTCGGAACCGAGGTTTAACGTTTTCAACCAATTTTTTTCTCAAAGATTTTCTGCGAAACAAAGCAATACAATGCTTTATTTTATTCTATAGGCAATGATGGAAAAAAAGTATTTCGTTTTGTTTTAAGGCGGCTAATCAATGAATAGGTAAATAAATAATATATTAATCAATTTAATAGGTGATGGGCATTTGTGCAAATAATTTACAGTGAATCTGAGAGACACCTATGAACAGGGGGTAGAGAGCTAAAGGTTTGTTTACAACTTTGTTGGATAATCCGGCACAAGAACCGTGACATGGCGTATCCGAAACGAGGCGCAAAGAAAAAAAAAGAAAATAGTACAGCTTCCTTTTTTATTCTGCTGTCTTTATTTCCTTCTCTCTCTCCACCCTTTGCTATTTTACTCCCTCACTGATTTTCACCCCCAAACTAGGCTGCGATCGCTTCTGTGATATCAGATAATCTTGGATGTGTTTCGCTAACATTTTCGACACAGCGAATTCATTTGATGACATCCTCATTAACTAAGCCAAGGCCATTGTGTTCACGTCCCGTCGAGAAAAGTAGCCTCGAGGACCCAAATTATGCGGTTCCGCCAAATTGCCATAGCCACGCGAATTGGCGAGTTGCCAGATGTCTAAGAATTCGTGCGCGCATCACAGATGCATAGTGCGCATAACTTTGTAGGTTGCTGCAAACGCTAACGCTAACCCAACGCAAGTCTTGCATACAAAATTTGAACTAAGGAAAACTGGGCGAATAGTCGCACTGCCAAGTCAGGTGTGCATTTAGTATGCTTTTACAGAACAAGGGAATGATCAGAAATCGAAGTGACCAATCCAAACAAGCTGCATTTTATTAGATGCGCCAGCAAACGCAGACTTGAATTTGTTTTCCACATCCGCTTAGCGCCTACGTAAGCGAAGTTATGAGCCGTTAAAGACCGTTATTTTGCTAAGAAATTGTGAATGCGAAGCGTAAATTTAGCAGTACAAAGTCATATTCGGCTACTCGAACTTAGCTTGTGGAGAAGTCAGGGCGGCTAACGAAACTGAGAAAATCGTTTCGAAAGCTAGAGCCGTGCAATGGGAAGACCCCGCCACCTGCCGATTTCTCTCCCGCGTTAGATCCTTTTTCCCCCATTTTCCCGAGCTCCAGCGTGGATTTTTGGTTTCAGCATAGCGAATAGGCGCAGGTAAGCACAAAATCTCAAGATCGAGTTTTTGCCCGGACACTGCCTTCAAAGCCCAAGGGTGAGCTGCAAGTGTAATAATGTACTCAATTTCGGAATTTTTAAATACGATTTTTTCGCAAAAAAACTGCTCATACTTCGTGCACAAATGTGCTAAGCAGATATTGAATACAGATCCGAATTTAGCGATGAATGCTGCATTCAATAGTAGGCAGCTTGCTCGAATTGGCCGTTTCGACTTCTGACTGTTCTCTTGCCAGCTAATTAATTGATTTAGCGATTTATATTGGAATTATTTTGGAAATAATCCAAGGTCAGGAGTACAATTTAGCGATTTATATTGGAATCATTTTGGAAATAATCCAAGGTCAGGAGTACAATTTCAGGAATCCGCAGTTTAGAGTGTAGAGGCTTGTTAAAAGGTATTTCGCCTTTATTAATGAACAAACACTGAAGTTTCAAAGTCATTGAATTCGGTCAAACCTAGCCTACATCGTCTAATCGGCTGGCTGATCACGATCATAGTAGTAACATAATGTGGTCTTTCGTAGAGTTACGGTATGTAAACGGTAAAGACATCCTAGGTTTATCTGCAGTTCTCCCTAGATTATTCGACATATTCATAAGCATTATATCGCCTGCCAAACGAAACTTACTGTAGAGTTACGTTTTCAAATATCTGTGTGAAGGTCCCAGATTTGTTGAAAATTTGCGTGATTGACTTTTCAGGTAGAAAATCCGCTATTTTGACCCCATACCGTACACACCATAATATATCAAATTGGTTCTTGCGTGCGAAGAAAACAGTAAACAATTTTCGGAATGGAAAAGCATGGCGCAAAAGTGGCAAACCATTACAAATTACTTGCTCCGAAAATTTTCATGTCCTCAAAAGTCCGAGACGCGAATTCTGCTGAAATTGCACATGAGGATAGAAAGTAAAGCTAGTGGGAAAGTCTCGCAGCTGCTTAGCTGCTCGAATAATAAAAATTGCTGCATCGAACATCGCTGGAGAGTTTGTCTATTTTTGTCCTATGTGATTTGCGGATAGACTAGGAAAAGTACAATTTTTTGGAAATCCAGTAGTTTCCTGGCGCAATAAAACTTTGCACTAATTTTTTGCACTAATTTATATGCAGATAGTTGGCATACCCGGCTCCGCTAGGCCCTTTCAATATGAACGGTTATTATATTCGTAATCAGCAAGCACACTTACCCCCCGAACTACAAACAATCACTAAAATCGATATCGATCAATAAAGAAAAGTAGCTTACGACATGGCTCTCTCCCCGATGAAAATGTGTGCAAAGTTTGATCTGGATTTGGTTCAGAAATGAAAAGTTTTTATTCCGCTACGTACATACAGGCAGACAGATAGACAAACAGACATTTAGCTTTATATATAATTTTTCAGTGAAGTATTGAAAAGAAATCTGCGAATAAAAAACGGTGTTGTTAGCCGCCCCTTCCACAATATTAGCGGGTCTATCATATTAGGTCATTCCGAAAGTAATTTCGCTTTTTTCAAACGGGCGCCACATCTGATGGAACAAAGGTTTCCAAGAGATCTTGAACGCATTCGATGCAGCATTTTATTTTCTTTCTAATGGTCATGAAACTGTTGCAAAACAGTCAATGAGCTTTCAGAAAGTAACTAAAACTTGCGACCCATGCTTTTTGAGATGGTCAAGTTTCACGATTTTTCAAACCTTTCATATCAATCCTCAGAAGGAGTTCAAGTAACGATTCGATAGAGTAAAGCTCATAAAATACAGTGCTACTTTTTTCCCTTTCTCGTAGCTCACCGTAATCTCTTAAAAGATTTTTTAGCAGAACCACCAAATTTTGGCAGGCCCACTTCAATCACAATCGCATCAAACATCATAATTTTTCGGAATTTGAGACTACCAAGATGGTACTATGAGTTGGCATTAATTTTACAAAGCAAGTGAGGGTTTACGGGTTCGAAATATCAAATTCCGAGTTTTTCGGGTACAGCCTGGGGCTCCTCAAAAAAATAAGTTATGATGGTTTTATCCCCGGAAACTAAACGAATCGGGAACAAAAAACACTCAAAAAGAGGAGAAAAAGCTGCATCGATCGACACCAGAGCTGCTCAAGGTTTGATGTTCTACTAGGATTTAGCTGTCCAAGTATGGAAATCGGTAGCATCAGTTAAAATTCTGTCAAAAATGTATGACAAGCTATGGAAAAGAGAAAAAAGTTGCGCTGCATTCTATGAGGTATGCTCTATCGAACCGTCACTTGAACTTCTTCTGAGAATTGATATGAAACTTTTGAAAAATTGTGAAACTTGACTATCTCAAAAAGCATAGGTCGCAGATTTTGGTTATTTTCTGAAAGCTCATTGACTGTTTTGCAACAGTTTCATAACCATTAGAAAGAGAATGAAATGCTGTTTCGAATGCTACCAAAATCTCTTAGAGATATTTGTTCCATCAGATGTGGCGCCCGTTTGAAAAAAGCGAAATTACTTTCGGAATGACCTAATATATTAGGTCGGTCCGAAAGTTCTGTCGTTTCATTTTTGAAAATTTGTAACTCTGCGCTATCCCAACGGATTTGCACCGTTGTAATTTTGTTTGAAAACATAAGTTTTTCGCTTTCGAACGCAGTCTTGATTAGCTTCTACTACGCACTGACTGCAGAGATAAAAATGAAAAAGTAAGACCAACTAAGTTTTGCTCATTTTAAGTTAAGTCGCAATAAATTTGAAACGCCACAGAAAAATTTGAAAAGTTCAGTATATAAGTTTTTTGACCCACTCTTTATAACTGTGAAAAGACTGTGCTGTTTAAACGCCTCTGAGAGAAGTTTTGAATTTCGAGTTAACTCAGAAAACGCCAAAATTAATTGATTCGTCCCTTTTTCCGAAATTCATAACTTCTCTCAGAGACGTTCAAACAGCACATTCTTTTCACAGTCATAAAGAGTGGGTCAAAAAACGTATATACTGAACTTTTCAGATTTTCCTGTAGCGTTTCAAATTTATGGCGACCTAAATTAAAATGAGCAAAACTTAGTTGGTCTTACTTTTTCATTTTTATCTCTGCAGTCAGTGCGTAGTAGAAGCTAATCAAGACTGTGTTCGAAAGCGAAAGACTTATGCTTTCAAACAAAATTACACGGGGCAAATCCGTTGGGATAGTGCAGAGTTACAAATTTTCAGAAATGAAACGACAGAACTTTCGGACCGACCTAATATATAGCGCTGAATGTCTGTTTGTCTGTCTGTATGTCTGTCTGTCTGTCTGTATGCCTGTACGTATGTTCCGAATAGAAAATTCCATTTCTGAACCGATCCGGACCAAACTTGGCACACATACACTTCGGGCCCCGGCGGGTGTCATAGGGTACTTTTCGTCATCGATCGATATCGATTTTATCGATTTTTTGCAAAATTTGAGCTACGGGGCTGGGAGTTGGCACAGGGGGGTAATCGAGCATGCTGATTACAAATATAATAATGACAGGGCCGGGCGGAGCCGGGTAAGTCAACTAGTAACTAATACGCCGCTCTCGAGTAAATTCAACTTTAACGACTTTTGATTTTGCCTTTCATGGCTATATACAAACACATAACGTTATCGTTAACTTTTTCGGTGACAGTATTTATTAAACGTAAAAAACATGGAAACAAATTATAACATAGTTAAATCATAAATTTGTGATCCTAATAGAGATATCGCTAGACAAATGTGTCGCCATCGTCGTACTCAATTAGTTTCGAATCTGATTGTGTTGTCATTTGCCTAGAAGACAAACTTCAGTCAAGTAAGTGTAAAATAAGTATATGCTACTTACTTTGCCTGGAGGTTGTACTCGTTTGTGACCAAGCTTAATTCTGAAATCAGTGCATTAGGATAGGTGAATTGCGAAGACACCTTATGAGATTTTTTAACTTAATCATACTTATTACTCATTCTCAATCAGCTTGTAAAATTTGCCATATGTCAGCGCTGGGCGAGCTGCGTGCCAGTGCTGTGCTGGAACCCAAGCATACTGATCGATCGACGTTCCACCACGGCCCTAGCACGGGTTACTCTGGACGCAGCCTCACCACGTCATGCGAATGCTCAAATTCTCTTTCCTGTTTTTCACCTTTCAACTTGGACGGTACATTGGTCATTAACGTTTCCGCGGTTACGGGCGCTTGTGAGTCGTTCAGTTTCTCGATTTGACTCTTCGCTGGTAAATTCCTGTACACCCATGGCCGATTAATCATTCTGAAACAGTAAACATCTTTGTTTTTTGAAAAATTTAGTCCATTGTTTACCTTGAGCTCCCTCGTTTCCCGACTCTACCGAAAATCGTGCTCACGACGAGCTTTCGGAACGTTGGATTCAACCACGCATAGAGCAGAGGATTAACAACATTATTCGACATGGCAAAACTGAAAATAAAAACAAACAGCTTACGGGATTCGATAGATAGATTTGCTGAGCACCCTGTAATGATCCATAAGAAAACATATCGTTCTATTATGGGTAGAACAGGGGCAGCTACCGTAGTCACCACATAATCATCTTTTAGATAAGTCGTAGTGGCTCTTCTACCCATTTCATCGCTTAGTGGTCTACTGCTGTCTCTACTAATAACTTCAACGATAGAATACAGTTTTGAGTCTTTTATGCCGTAACAAAATGTTATTAGAAAGCTTTCTATGCCTTGCAAGTAGAGACGGTCGTTCGCAAACCTTGAAGGAACGCTTCATTTTGCAAACTCCATACCCATGCCTACATTTCGGGAAAAGATATTACACCAGTCACTCGGTGGTAGTCACTCAAAGACAGCTTCTGAGAGATTAAAAGTGCAATCGCAAATGATAGCGCCTTCGCTAGATGCTTTCGCTGCGCGCGTAATGTGATGTATTTTGTCAGTCAGAAATTCTAGTGTGTTAGACGCCAGACATGGTCCCGTCACGATTAAATACAGCTACGGCTACATATATAGCGCAAACTAGGCGGCGATGCTTCTTCCCGTTTGGCCTGCTTTTCCTCCTTTAGGATGTCCCAAAAGTATGTACAGGTTATCGTTGATATCTCTTTCGCCATTTAGTCTTTTGCCGAACTTTGGGCGCCTTTATGATTGGAATCAACGATAGCTGTTCACTAGTGTAGGATTAGTAGGAACTTTCAGCGCATAGGCCGTTTCGAAAATAATTCCATAAAAATATGGAAAATCGTCGTCACACAGCTTTTGAGAAGCTTTTCAAACCTTTTCAGTAGCAATCATATTTTTAAGCGACATTTGAAAAACAGCCGTCACCGTATACTTGGCTTAATTTATAAACGAAGCATTATCGTAAATTGTAAATTTCACATTTGTAGTCAGCGAGTTTGTCTAGCCTAGAGTAAGAGTTTTTGGGTCGTAAGTTTCCTTTCTAAAGCAAAATGTGGTCGGTACGCAAGACCCTTCACTACCGTAATCCTACTGTAATGAAGAGCGACCAGTGAATACTGTAATTTTGAGTCGACGTCAGCTCGACGGAATAGTAGTAATTCAGCACAAGATTTTTGAGAAGAGAGAGTTCAATGGTTAATCAGCGTGTACATAAATTTGAGAGACCCTGTATGTAGCACCGGGCATATCACGCGATTTCATCGCCTCGCGATTCACCCAACAAGACAACTGCTACAAGTTCCTTGCATGCCGATCCTCTTGCATTTCGGTTGTGGTAGTTTTCCGATATGACCAATCGTGACTGACTATCACAACCAGCTGCAAGATGATCAGTCTGCAATGAATACGTAACAGTTGTTTTGTCTAGGGAATTGCAAGGCGACGGGATCGCGTGAACTATGCCCAAAGATTATGACTATTGCAGCGCCTTCGCAAGGTGGTTAGCCATTTGTATAAAATTATCAAACCTACCAGTGTGTGAATAAATTTAGCAGGTAGCTAATATCAAGTTCTTCTCTGCCAAACAACCGGAAAAACGTTTGTGTTTCATCGTATTCGATAATGAGCGAAACAACATTGTGCGGTAACCATGTTAGTCCAAACCAGACTACCATAGCTACGAGAATATAGGTGGTTCTGGAAGAGTACTTGATAGATCATATAATTTGTAGATCTATCGACAAACCTTCGATTTTGCTGAATAACACGTTGTCTTTCCTTTTCTTGCTTGTCTAAGAAGGAATTTACCTGGAAATATATTACTGTTTTAATGAATTTTCATTTGAATCCAAGGTTTCTGCCAGGATTTTCCAGAATCAGTTCTCGTGCTTTGCTGTTCTTGTAGTTTTTTATGGCCGTGTTTGCACGATTTTAACCTCCATTTTCCCTTCATTTTTCCCAACTAGCTCTATAGTAGCATGGAAATAAATAAGAAAGTGACTAATCGTCCGTTGCAGTAATATTAGCAAATGAACCGCGTCAATTTGTTCATATTGTGCAGAGCGTGCAAAATCAAGATCTTATTATGAATGTGGCATCATCTGTAAAGGAGTGACGCGCTGTTGTTCAGAACGGCTTTCCCTATATAAGTGTGAGTAACGATATTATAAATTGCAAAAATTTTTTCAAAAACATGTCACACAGAAAGGTATGTCGACGAGGATCCAAAATTTTTTGAAGGGAGCGTGCCGAGAGTTAGCCACTCCGAAAATTGGCATTCTTCCCAGATTCGCAGGCATATAATCCCGAAATCTAGAGAAAAAGGGCAGGTGCATGCCACTGGAATCATTCCCGCAAAGATAATTTCCTTTTTATTTGAATTTTCGTTTGATATGTACTTTCCAGATGTTCGCTGATAAAATAAGTCACTTGCATAATATTTGCAATAGACAACTTCGATATTTTTGCGACCATAATAATGAAAATAATTTTTGAAACTTTCCAAAAATTCAAATTAGCCTTGTAAAAAAAGTTTTTTTCTTTCGGGAGCGTGGCTGCTGCCACTCCCCTTCTTCTAGATTTCAGGGGTTGTGAGCCCGCAAAAAATTTGAGAAACACCACAAAAATTTTTTCCAAGTGCGTCACGCCCCTCGCCTTCATTTGAAAAATTTTTGCCCCCCCCCCTCCCGGACGGAAATTTGGGACCGCCACCGGTGTACTTGTTCGTATAAGTCAAAAAGCTCCAAAATCTAGAATATCTGCTTGAATAAACCGAAATGTCCAAGTTCCAGAGTTTCCTCCTTATCAGTACTTTAGAATCTAAACTCTGTAAGCCTCACAGTTTTGGTTTTGCAGAAAATTGAATTGTAAAAAACTGCACTCCTGCTAATCGAAGATAGAGCTTACAGGGCTCGGCACGAGCTGGCACCAGGGAAATTTCAAAACGAAGTCCCGTTTGATATTGAAAATTTCGTACGAAGTCCCTTTTGACCTGTTTTGAAAACCCGTCATCATTTTTATATTATGTAAAAAAATGTAGCAGTGTTTTCATGCATTTCTGATTTCATGAAAAAACTTTTCACAGCTTTCTGAGCTTTTTAAGTGGTCGAATCACATCTTGAGAAGCAGAAAAAGCCGATTTTTCGACGGCGGAGCGGACTGAGTGGTTTTCAAATTGCTATAAAACGCTGAAAAGAGAACATTATGAAACTGTTTCTTCTCCGTACGTAATCTTTTACAGTGTAGATACATTTTATATAAAAAGTATGAAAACTTATGTGAGCAAAGTGTCGGTGCCAGCTCAGCTGGCACCCAGCTGGCACGGTGCCAGCTAATTCAGAAAAAAGTTGGGCACAGCTTTCATTCACATAAGTTTTCATAAATTTTTGGGCCGTAGTTCCGGTCCACCAACGCGCATGCACACACCAGATTTGGTGTCATACTATTGCGTTTTGGCTGAAAACAACGCCTTTGTTTGTTGATGGACAGCTTGCCAATGGCATGCCGGTGGCATGCCGGCGGCATTTTTGCGGCAGTTCTCCGCCTCGGCCCCTGTAAAAACGATATCTCCTTTGCTTTCCGCGCTAAAAACGATATTCAGCTTGACACGGTGCCAGCTGTGCTGAGCCCTGAGAGCTTAAGATGAATACCAAACTTTGTTCGAGAAGTCTGCAAAGGACTCGACCGATTGAAAAGATATACTTTCCTAGGCTCAACAAGTGATCTATAAAACTTTCCCACGTGATAGTGTGTACCTTTCACCACGTTGAAATGTCTATCGAAGCCCTACAGACCAGAGGACGCGATTTTTAATCCCTTTCTCCAAATATCACCATCATCTGATGGAAATGAGGCTTCAGATGATCCCTCTGTTTTTCTACTGCATTTCAACAATTCTAGAAAAATCGAAAATCAGTAATCAGGTTATCTATGCAAATGGGTCAGATCCTAGCTTTGATTGCTGCTTACCTTGCTCTGTATATTTTCGAATAAATTCGGTATTCTCAGGTTTCAAAGCATGATTCAGAGAAATAAGTTTTTATGCTCGCTTATCAGGAAGTCAATCTTTCGGAGCTGTTTTGCAGATTTGCAAAGTGTAGACGAGCTTTGCAATAAATGAACACCTCTTTAACCGAATGAAGCTAATTTTGAGACTTATGTAAGAATGATGTGACTAGCTTCAAAGTAGTGAATTTGTTCTGAGATCACTCTGAAGACGCGCCATCGAACGGATTGCTTTCGAGTATCGTTTGGTAAAAATTTGGCGTTAAAAATATGTACGTAGGGATAACTTGAGATTTTGAAAACATCAGTATAAAAAAATTTTGCGATGCAAAAAACTCAAAATACTCGATTATTTCTGTTTTCCAGATAGTACTGGCAGAGTCAATGTTGCAATCTCCTTCGTTGATCAGGTAAAGGAAACATGCCAATTCCTGCCCCTTCTTCCCCCCCCCCCCCACTTCTGATGGTCGTAGAACTGTGGAACGAGTATGAGAAATATTGTTCAGTTATTAGTAGGTATCACATTTTTTTTCACGAATCCGAACAACCATGCCGTTTTTGTTTGTGTTTGGATGACAGTTTTTAGTAGATCAATGTTATAGAAATAACTTTCCATTAGTTAGAAGTTTACATTCAACAAAGAAAAAGGTACATCATAAAGCTCACCGGCTCATCTGCTTCGTTTCCGTTCCTCTCACTAATCTGGTAAGTTCGTGTTGGGAAAGAATTCTCCAGAGCTGATGAACGCTCATCCATACGTCGCAGCTTCACCTATGCTGGTGAGGATAAATATTAGAAAAAAAATCGAAAACACGATTTTAGTTAATGTTTATTAAACCAAGTTTCTATACTGGCATCACTGACCTTTGCACGACGGTTTAAAACGAGAAAAATATGGGCATAACAGAACGCCATCAACGTGAAAGGCAAGGCAAATTGTGAGAACATCACAATCATAGTGTAGGACCGTCGACCAAAGGCAGTTTTCCACCGTTCCGTGCAAAATTTCCCGCATACTCCTTGCGACTGTAATAAATCCTTATAAATAA